AAGACTTTCCACATCAAGCAGATGTTCACCTGCACATCTGCCAATGTGGTATACTGCATCCGCTGTACCCGGTGTGGCTTCCTCTACATCGGGGAAACCAAGCGGAGGCTCGGGGACCGCTTTGCAGAACACCTACGCTCGGTTTGCAATAAACAACTGCACCTCCCAGTCGCGAACCATTTCAACTCCCCCTCCCATTCCTCAGACGACATGTCCATCCTGGGCCTCCTGCAGTACCACAACGATGCCAGCCGAAGGTTGCAGGAACAACAACTCATATTCCGCTTGGGAACCCTGCAGCCCAATGGTATCAATGTGGATTTCACAAGCTTCAAAATCTCCCCTCCCCCAGCCGCATCCCAAAACCAGTCCAGCTCGTCCCTGCCTCCCTAACCTGTTCTTCCTCCCACCTATCCCCCCCTCCCACCTCAAGCCGCACCTCCATCTCCTACCGACTAACCTCATCCCGCCCCCTTGACCTGTCCGTCCTCCCTGGACTGACCTATCCCCTCCCTAACTCCCCACCTACACTCACCTTTACTGGCTCCATCCCCGCCTCTTCGACCTGTTTGTTTCCTCTCCACCTATCCTCTCCTCTATCCATCTTCTATCCGCCTCCCACTCTCTCCCTATTTATTTCAGAACCCCCTTCCCCTCTCCCTTTTCTGAAGAAGGGTCTAGGCCCGAAACGTCAGCCTCTCTGCTCCTATGATGCTGCTTGGGCTGCTGTGTTCATCCAGCCCTGCACCTTGTTGTCTTGGATTCTCCAGCATCTGCAGTTCCTACTATCTCCTTCCATATGCTATTTGTCACCCCAAATCCAAGATAATATTCACAATCTGCTTTCCTTGTCAGCTATCTCCATGTCTAACCTCATCTTTATCTCCAAGGTTCCTAATCACATTGCTCAATTATCACCTCTCTCCTAAATTTCCCAATTACATTTCCTCAGAGGACCAAAACTTCCCTAGTAAAGTCGGTAATGACAACTTCTGTGACTGCAGACATGTGCTCCACTGTCTTGACCTTGACCTACATGCCATTGCATAATCTTTGATCATTCCTTCCACCTCTATATCTCTTGCTGCCTGTTGTCCTCAATGGGATATTCTTGTTTTGTTCCATCTATTTGCCCCCACAGGTCCAGCACATCTCTAGCGATAGTTTACACTCGCACCTCCCTATATTCATCTTCTCCAAACTCTAAGATTCCGTTTTGGACACCTTCACTTCATTATTTCCCTGTTGCCTTGATAATTATGCACAGATACATGGTCGCTTTCCAGGTGAACACCATCAACAACTAGATATACATCCTGCCACCAACATGAATTTGACAACTGATCTCTATGTTACCAAACTGCTTATCTGAGCATATTCTCCAACAAACTATGGTGAAATGAAAGTGAAATTTTTTTGGCGCAGACAGATGGCCTTTACTATTTCACCAAACTCTGCCCAACTCTAGGCTACGTGCTTGCTTGTCCTGGTAAAACCTGGTAATATTGTCATCCTATCTATTGTTGAGTTGGATTTCAAACTCCATATTCATCAGTGGTTTCTCATTTATTCCCACATTTTCTCCAAAAATATATTCCTGTGCTATCTATCTTTCACAGCGTAAATTACCTGTGTGTGTTCTCATATGTTTCTTCAGCTGAGCAGCATCCATGAATTTACGATGACAGTGCACACATTCAGGCATGGATTGACCTAACAAACAGGAAATGCAAAAATTCAGCATTATAAAACAACACATTTTACAAACCTATTGCTGTAGACTTACAGGGGCCTCTGCTAGTGACTCAAGTTTTTACAATTCACAGCAATGACTTAGATGAGGGAAGCAAAGACACATTGGCTAGATTTGTAGATTACTCCAAGGCAGGAAGGAATGTCTGTTCTGAAGGAGACATATAGGAGTTGCAGATGAATATAGATAGGTTGAGTGAATGGACAAAAATCTGGCAGATGGGTATAATGAGGGAAAATACAAAGTTATTCACATTAGCAGGAAGAATGAAAAAGCAGAGAACTAATAAAATGGAGAATGACTGCGGAATTCAATGTTCAGCTGGATCTAGCTGTTCCCATGTACGTGTCATGAAAGGTTAGCATGCAAGTACAGCCAATAATCAAGAAGGGTAATGGGATGCTATCTTTTATTACAAAAGGAATTGTACATAAAAGACTGCTACACTTCAGTTATTCAACTGTGGGAAGGTCCTGTGGCACAATGGTAGTATGTCTACCTCTGGGCGAGGAGGTCTGGCTTGAAGCCCCAGATGTGTCATGTCCTAACAGGTTGTTTAAAAAAAACACAAATTTACCAGTGATAGCCCTTTAAACAGAGTATAAAGGTATACTTTGGTCCATTAAGGGGCAAATAACTCACAGCTTCTAATAAAATAACTTGGTTTGCCTGGATTTTCCAAGTGTATGAAGAGACACTTGTTCCTTTGAGGGACTGTCAACTAGTTAATTTAGTTCACTCATTTTCAAAGAAGTATAAAGAACGTTTATTGACACTGGCATTGCTTGCAAAGTTAGACGCTATAAATATGCAAGTCTCAATTCATGAATAAAACCAAGTAAAGACTGACTTCTGATTTCCACATTCGCCAACTGAGTGCCAGAAGCTCAGCAGGGCCAGAAATTGGAGGACATCAAATTACTGTGAATGGCAAAAGGAGAAACAGTGACACAAGGAATAACTTTTGTAAACAGCAGGTGGTTAAGTCTGGTGCCTGAAAGATTTGATTGCGGTCATCGAAAGGGAATTTGTTAATTATCTAAAAGCTAAGGGATTGTATCGAGTTGAGTTGCTCTCACAAAATCTTGGCACAGATACGTTAGGCCAAATGACCTCCTTCTGTCCTATAATCATTCAACTACTCCATGAAATAACTTCCTTTATTAAAATTTAATGAAGGTATTAACTCAAATAGTTAAATATATTGAAAATTCATACCCTAATTCACCAACAGTAATTTCTTCTCTATAAAGAACATCTCATCAAGGACTGTGAAATGTATAACAAATGTATAACTGTAGTGCGGCAGACATTGTAAATCTGGCACAGGAGTGTAATGGAAATTACTTGCATTAGTCCTTTCACAAATGAGCATTTCTTATGGCTATCTTTTATAGTATTATGGCTTATATTACTAGCTACAGTTCCAGAAATCTCTGTAATAACATCAGTGTTTCTGGCAGTAGTAAACAGCATGCACAGATTTTAAAATAGCCAGGAGAGGAGAACTTCTCTTAAGGACATTTTGATCTTATGATATGTGAATGGCAAAGAAAAGGAAAACTAACTGCAAAATAAGCAGAACTCTTATGATGCCAGACCTGACCACCAAATTTATGTAACAGTGGTTACGGATCAGCAACATTTATTTTTAAGTAGATATAGAAACATATAAAATAGAAGTAGGTTATTCAGCCGTTTAAACCCACTTACTATTCAATATGATCATGGCTGAACATCCAACTCAGTCACTGTTCCCACTTTCTTCCCATATCCTTTGATCCCTTTAGCCTTAAGAACTATATCTAACTCTTTCTTGAAAACATACATTGTTTTGGCCTCAACCACTTTCTGTGGGAGAGAATTCCACAGTCTCATCACACTCTGGCTGAAGAAATTTCTCCTCATCTCAGTCCTAAATGGCCGACCCAATATCCTTAAACTGTGATCCCTGGTTTTAGACTCTTCAGTTATCAGGAACATACATCCTGTCTTTACCCTGTCTAGTCCTGTTAGAGCTTTACAGGTTCTATGAGATTCTTCTTCATTCTTCTAAACTCCAATGAATATATTCCTAACAGATCCAGTCTTCATACGTCAGTGCTGCTATCCCAGGAATCAGTCTGGTAAACTTTCACTGCACTCCCTCTATAGCAAGACCATTTTGCCTCAGATAAGGAAACCAAAACTGCACACAATACTCCAGGTGTGGACTCACCAAGGTACTACATAATTATATAAGTCCAACAGAAGTCAATTTGTATCCCAAATAGATGCGTTTCTGAATCTCAGCCCATGATCTAATTCATGTTGTGAATCATATACTGGACTTGAAACAAAACTGTACAATATTATACTAGCTGCAGCAAGATATCCTCGCCACTGTACCCAAATCCTCTCATGATGAAGGTCAACATATCGTTTGACTTCTTCACTGCCTGCTGCATAAATTGAGATGCAGGATATGTACTAAGAGAATAAAGTCATAAGATTCCAGAGTTTTGAAAAATAACAATAAAAATTTACTATACAGTGTTAGAAAAGTTATATAATCTACATTTACTAACATCCAGCATTAACATGTGGTTAGAATGGGTAACAGACTGTGATTGAGTACCCCACAGAGCACATCAATTAGCAAATGTAACCAAAACAGATCCTGTGGATTTCTTAACAATTCCTTTTCCTCTGCCCCAATATTGTTAATACAGTGGGTCACCAAATTATTGATAAACTTCACAAGGGATTACAATTCTTTACTTTTGCTCATCTAGCCTTGAAACTCCCTCTCAAGAATTGCTCAGCTTTGGACTGCCCCAACAACTGTTCCCATTCTGGTCAATAACCTTCCTTGCTGGGATCTACCCTGGACTCTGAAATTGCACTCTAGTAATCATCCACAAGAATAATTCCAACTTTTCACCGAATGCTGGCTTTACCAAGCTAAAGCTGCCCCTGAATATTTTTTTCCTGAGCTTTGATCTTACTCAATTGCATCCAGTAAATACTACTTGTGGACCTTTCAACTTTCAGCTGAACTGAACTATTAGTAGTACACAGCTTCTTCTGAGCCTCCACAATTTCCAGGATGTTACCGAGTCCTCCTATACAGAGCCATTCAATTGCTCAAGGATGTCCTTTAGTCCTCATTACACGAAATCCACATAGTTCAGCTACCTTTAGCAGTGTTGTTTACAGCTGTGCTGAGTGACTTCTTGAAAACATTGTCATAAGCCCCTCCCCTTTGTTGGGCAGAATTACCACCAAACAACTTTTGGAACTAACTGTTCAATAAGTGTTAGCAGCGATAGAATGCTGGCTTGCTCAGTACAACAAGTAGATACCATAGAGGATTTCATCACAGCACCAAATGTAAGAATACTACATTGTAGAAGAATAAATGAACTTAGTGATTCATGTATGAATCTACAAGGCTCAAACCAATTCTTTTTTCTGATCTCCACCAATCCTACAATCCTTTAAAATCTTTGAACTTCTTCAGTTCTGAACTTTTACAGATATCTAATTGTTGTAAGTCTATCACAGGAGGCTATCCCTTCAGCTGCTCATGATTTAAATTCTGAATTTGTTCCTTAAGTCATGTGTCCCTCTAACTTGCATACCTCCTTTGAGATGTTCCTTAAGATCTACCTCTAGTCCTGTTTTTGGTATCTACCTTATCAGTTCTATGTGGCTCCTTTTTCTGTTAACTTTGTTTGATAAGCTTCCTGTGCCTTGGGAAATTTTAAGAAGAAACTCTTACATTTATAGAGCATCTTGTGTGACCTCAGGATATCATAAAGCCCATCGAAATGAATGAACCACTTTTTATTTTGGTGTGGCATAGAAAATATAGCAGTTAGATGCAGAAGCATTCTCCCAGAAAAAGCAATGAGGTAATGACCAGATTATAGGGTAAATACTGGTCAGGATACCAAGGATAACACTGCTATTCTTTAAAATAGTGCCATGAAACCCAACTGGTTTGCCAATGTCCTTTAGGAAAGGAAATCTGCCATCCTTACTTGATCTGGCTTACATATGACTCCAGACCCACAGCAATGTGGTTCGGAATGGACAATAAATGCTAGCCTAACCAACGACACCCACAACCTCCGAATGAATTTTTAAAAAAATCTTCTATGTCCATTTGTTGGCGCTGACTGAGTGCATGATTAATATCGCATCTTTGACATTGCTCTTTTACTGCAAAACAGTGTCACTCTAGGTTTTTATGCTCAGGTATCTGGAGTGGGACTTGAACATTTGCCCTTCTGATTCAAAAGCAGAAATGTGATCAACTAAGCTGTAGTTGATACTGCACAATATTAAAGGCATGACATAAAATACAAGTGCTGTCGTTGTGATGAAAATTCTTGCAATACTCACAGCTACCCAATCCAGGGATCATCAAAAGCAACGTTTCAGCCATTTCTAATGGTTATACTATGACTTTTTTTAACATCAATAGCTCCCAGTTCAACTGTGTTTTGAATTTCTAAAGAGCTGGAACATTGTCAGTTTTTTGAGACTGATAATTAAAACAAATAAGCCATATTTAAGGGGGTAAATGGCCTCGTGGTATTATCACCAGACTATTACTTCAGAGACCCAGGCAATATTCTGGGGTCCTGGGTTCAAATCCAGCCATGGTAGATGGTGGAATTTGAATTCAATAAAAATTGGAATTAAGAATCTAATGATGACCATGAAACCATTGTTGGAAAAATCCATCTGGTTGACTTTGAACTGCCCACTGGGAAATTAGGGAATGGGAAATAAATGCCGGCCTAGCCAGCAATGCCCATTCATCCTATGAATGAATTAAAAAGAAGTTATACCTGTATGGACTCTGTAATGGCTCTTCAGTTGTCTCCTCTGAGTAAAAAACTTCCCACACTGGTCACAATTAAAAGCTTTCTTTCCTAAAAATGGAAAAGAAAAATCACTTTAGTGAAGGTTGTCTGGAGACATAGAAAACAGAATGACCATTTTGTAAATGCATAACTCGTGGGGATGGAAGGACTGTCATATGAGGGGAGGTTGGCTCGAGTGGGCCTGTTTAAACTACAGTTTAGAAGGATGAGAGGGGATCTGATTGCAACATTGTAAAATTCGAAAATGCTAGTTTTCTGTGTCATCGCCCTATTTCAGGGTAACGGTTGAAAATTGTGTTTACAATATTGCACAAGAAATAGAACAAAGACAAGCAATGAAGGAGCTTGGACAAAAAGAATACAGTAGAATTTTGCAGCTTCCCAACAACTTCAACAGACAAAATGGAATGGTCAGCAAACAGATCATGAAACACTATTTCGTAATATAAGAATGCTGGCCTTGTAATAAGATGCGTACACAAGATTTACAGCAACTTACAAGAAGATAACTACTCTGATCATTTGTTAGCTTAAAACAAACTGAACAAGTTGATACCTTCCTGGTCCATCTGGCTCAGTATTATAACACAAAGTACATTTATCGACTGAGCCAAAGCTTTATTACCAAATAAGCACATTCTCCAGTCCATCATGTCATTGGAATGTCAGTATACCATAACTGAACAGACACTTGAGAGAGATAAACTTTCAGGGTTTGGCAGTATAGAATGGACGAAAGGGACTGATTGATTTTTTTTTATAGAGAGTCGGCATGAACTCAGTGAGCCAAATGGTCTCCTGCTCAGTTGTAATCACATTATTACTGCACTTGATTTTAAGGGTCATGGATCAAATCACTATTATGCAGTGCACCATAATGGTAGTTTACCTATTAATGGTAATGACCTTTTTCTAACTTAAATTATGCTTAAAAAGACAAGCTGCAGTGCAATTACCTGTGTGCAGACTCATGTGCTCCAACAGAGAATGCTTGGTGGTCAATGCCTTCCCACAAACTGTGCAGTGATAAGGACGCTCCCCTGTGTGCATTCGCTCATGAACCTGCAGCGTGTGCTTCTGTGAAAATCCTTTACCACATTCAAAACACTTAAAAGGACGTTCACCTACCATGAAAAATATTTAAAAGTGAATATTTAAGTACCAAATTTGTATCCAACCCTATGACAAATAATTATGAGAAGCTATATTTACCCCTCTCCTTCCTTAAGTACATAAGAACAGGAGTAAGTCATTCAATCCCTTAAGTCGTAATGTCATGAAACAGTTCAGACTGTGGAAATTTGACACACGCTTCCTCGAAAAGCTGTTGTTGCAATTAAAGATCAATTAAAACTGTCAACATTTGAGATTTACTTTTATAAATTCATTCATGGTATGTGGACGTCACTGGCTAGGCTGCCATTAGATCACGGCTGATCTGTATCTTGAAACCATTCTCTGCATTTATTTTCTGTCTCGATATCCTTAACTAGCAAAAATTCGTCAATTTAAGGGCAGGCAATGGCTTTGTGGTATTATTGCTAGATTATAAATCTAGATCCCAGATAGTATTCTGGGAACGAGTCTTAAAATCTACCTATGGCAGATGGTAGAATCTGAATTCAATAAAAAAAAAACCTGGAATTAAGAGTCCAATGATAATCATAAAACCAATGTTAATTACTGAAAAAACTCACCCGGTTCACTGATTTCCTTTAGTGAAGGAAACTGTCACATCCTTACATGTGACTCCAGACTCCCTCTGGGCAGTAAAGTATGGGCAATAAATGGCAGCCTAGCCAGTGACGTCCACATACCATGAATGAATTTATAAAAGTAAATCTCAAATGTTGACACTTTTAATTGATCTTTAATTGCAACAACAGCTTTTCGAGGAAGCATGTGTCAAACTTCCACAGTCTGAACTGTTTCATGACATTACCACTCAGTTCTATTTCTAATTTTAAAGTCATACCTTCTTGCTTGGTCTATCTTGCTGGAGAAATTGGCTCATTGTCTACTCTTATCACCCCTTACTTAATCATCTTAAATATCTCAATTAGATGATCCAACTGTTTTCTATCTTTAAGGAAGTGGAGCAACCTGTTTAGGGACTCTGATGATATGTCACAACGAGAATCCTTAACCATTTTTCTCTCCATAAATGCTGCCAAATCTGCTGAGTATTTCCAAAAGTTTCTGTTTTTATATCCCATAATAGGGTGCAATTCCACAAGTGATTCCACAAGTCATGGTAACCCTTGAAATGGTTAAGCTTCATACCAGAGCTGCCAGCAAAGTCAAAGCGAAATGATTTGGGCTGAGTGATACAAAACATGGCAATGGTGAACAGTTGTCTTGGACACTGCAAGAAGATTTACTGTGGAGTTCCCCAGAAATCAGCATGACGAATACTGCTTTCATTTATATAAATAAATGACCTTAATGCTGAAACTCAGGGATTTGAGGAGCGTGCATATACAAATTGTGGGAAGTATAGCAGGCAAGCTGAAAAAGTTGTTAATAGTCATACGGAATGCTGAGCTTTAAAATAGAGACAGGACAATTGCACTGAAATTATACTGAACGTTTCAATCACTGGTTTGGTCTCTTTTCACTTCCAAGGAATGATAATATGGGAACATCACCGCCTGCAAATTCCCCTTTAAGCCAGTCACCACCCTGACTTGGAAATGCATCAGTGTTCCTTCAGTGTGGCTGGGTCAAAATCCTGAAACTTCCACCCAAAAAACACTGTAAGGGCAGGCTGCAGCAGTTCAAAACGCAGTTTACCATCAGCTTAAGGATCATTAGGAAAGGCAATAAGTGAAGGGAAATTGGCATAGTGGTAAAGTCACTGAACTAGTAATCTGAGGCCCAGTCCACTGCCCTGGGGACACAGGTCCAAATCCTACCACAGCTGTTGGAAGAATTTAAATTTAATTTAATTTTATTATTAATTTTGAAAATTCAAGCTCATCTCAGGAACAGCTACCATCAATTGTCAAAAAAGCTCATGTGGTTCACTAATTTCTTTAGGGAAGGAAATCTGGTGTCCTTACCCAGTCTGTTCTACATGCAACTTCAAACCTGCAGCACTATGGTTGACTCTTAACTGCCTTCTGAAAAAGCCTAGCAATCTACTGAATTCAGGGGCAATCAGGCATGGATAACAAATGATGGCTTTTGCCAGTGATGCTCCCAGTCGATTTACAGAATAAATTTGAAAAATGTTGGTACTTAACGGTGATGCTCATACACAAGAACAAATTTGAAAAATTTCATCTCTCCAGCAATCTATTCTATCAGACTTTTCTTATAGCTTTTCCTTTTGTACTGCCCCAAATTTCCCTGGTTTTGTATCTGCTCAAAGTCTGTTACATCTCAAACCTTTGAAAAAAAGTAAATTGTAGGGCTATGGAGTAAAGATGGAGGAGCAGTACTAAGTCAGTCGGTCTTGCAGAGATCTGGCATGAATAAGATGGAACCAAATGGCTTCCTTCCATGCTGCAATCATTCTATGATGCAAGGCCATTGACCTTTAGCACAGTCCTTTCCAGACCTGACCTGAGTTTTAAATCCTGAGATTCAACTGTGTTAAATTTTTTGAAATATCTAACATCCAAAGCAACATGGTGCACAGACAACAAACAAAATAATCAGTAATTCCTTTTTGTAAATTGGTTAAGGGATAAATATTGGCAAAATACTAAACAAAAAACCTCTTGATCTTATGTGCAGCACATGCTGCTCCCTGTAATACTGGAGATTGTGCCTGTAACGGATGTGACCTTTCATTAGATTGACAGCTGCTGATATGTTATTGGCACTTCACCAAGGTTGGAAGGAGGTAGCAGGAAATGACTGATTTTAAGGAAGAAAGCAAAGCAGAACATGCAATGCAGAACAGGTGCCAGCAATAGCAACTTCACATTTCTGTACTCTCTTACAAATATGATCTTTATAAGGTTGTTATTTTTTAGCAATAAAATTGAGGAATGAAGGGAGTCATGTGACCAGTTCTATCAATGTCAGGCCTGGATGTTAAAGATGAGAGGGGCCCAGGTTGTTTTACTAGGAAGAAGGTGTAAGTTGTTAACTCTGCGGGCACCGTGAAAATAGCTGTGATCATAGAATCATAGAATCCCTACAGTGTGGAAATAGGCCCTTCGGCCCAACAAGTCCACACTGAACCTCAGAGCATCCCACCCAGACCTATAATCCCCTAATCTACACCTCCCTGAACACTACGGGCAATTTAGCATGGCCAATCACCTAACCTGCACATCTTTGGACTGTGGGAGGAAACCAGAGGCTGCACCTGGAGGAAACCCACGCAGACACGGGGAGAATGTGCAAACTCCACACAGACAGTCACCCGAGGCTGCAATTGAATCTGGGTCCCGGGCGCTGTGAGGCATCACGATGAACAGATTCCAAGTCCAACGAACAGGTTGAAATGGTCTCATTGTAAGCTCTTGTATTTTAAACTGATTGTATGATTCCAAGATACAATAAATTTTGGGGGGGGGGTCTAAGGATAACTAATTGGCATTTCAACCTGGAATCAAGACCCACAGGGTTCATGTTGTCACAGAGATAGGTTCTGAGACATGAAAGATGCAGATATTCATTATAAAATCAAATTACAAAGTCTTCTTAAAGGTATCCCTGAATTTCAGACAGCTCAGTCTGACAGAGTTAGCAAGAGAAAATAGAAGAGCCAAGTTGCTACGGTTCACTGTACATGAAATCAGCATAGGGGCTTGTGCGTGAGTTGAGAAGACCAACACCATAAGGATCTGAAATGGGGCTGGAACATTCACCTAGCCTGAGCTAGAGAGAGAAACTCCAGAAGACCCTTGCCGTGAAAGATATTTCTAGGGTTAAAGGTTTCTGGGCTGGGAAAGAAAAGAAATGAAAGCAACTCTCAAGAGCTCGTACTTTAGGCTAGTTCTAGGAAAACTGAATGTCCATTTGAGGGACATTATAATGTATACTCATCGAGTAAAGTTTTTGATCATGTTCAAAGCAAAAGAAGAGCTTTAGTTGCTTAATTTACAAAGGCGCCTGCAAATATATTGTTTAATCAATGATGTTTTAGTTTGTTGCAGTAAAAATGGTAAAACTTGAAATCTTGTTGTGTGATATTTTAAGTTGGCCACAGAATTCAAATTTCTTTAAATTATTGGTGACTGGAGAGATCAAAGAGACAATTTGAAACACATACTATCATCCTTTCCTCTGCCCATGTTCCTCCACTTTGACAATTCTAGCTCTTTTATTAAAGGCTGGTCTTAACATCACATTATGTCAGATCAGATTTCATATGATCTTTATATCCCTTTTCTCTGGTTATCATAACTGTTATGGCTGCAAGTTCCAAATAGTCTACTTGTATTATGATTCTCAGAATAGTACACCTGATAATTATATTTTACAGAATTAACATACCTCTAAAATTTAAATAATTCAGATAAAATAATTGAAGTAACAGAAAACTGGAAACTTAGTGTCTAAAAGTAAAACAAATTGAGATGTAACACCAATTAAATTGACATTGGGGAAAAAAGGTAGCTTGTATTATAAAGGCTATCCATCTAAAATTACATTTTTATAACCAGGGATGTTCGTGCACTTGTTTGAAGGTTGACTTCCAAATCTCATGAAAGCTCATCAGGGTCTTCATTATTATATGTTACCAATATACTCAACCTTGCTTAAAGTCTGAAATATAGAACAATATAGAAGGTTTCATATTTAGTAGCACTGGAAAGAGGGAGCTGTTGGATTTATCAGTTGCAGGAGGGGTGGGAACAGCTTAGATTTTATATCATTGGTGATATTTCAATTGTACAGTAACACAGGATAGCAGCAGACCCTGAGATGTGGCAGCACTGCTGATGGTCCAGTAGACAGAAACGTGGAATTTATCAGCCCAAAGAGTAGGTGTCACAGTCTTATGCTTTTAATACAGAAAAATATGGAAAGAGAAGACAGTGCTTTCCCATTGTTTATTTAAGAACAGTTTAATGGTGTGAAATATAGCAAATAAAAAATGGCCATTTTAATAAGCATAAATTGCAAATATATGCAATCATTAGTAAAGACAAAGTTGTATACTGAAAAATATCTTTATAATATTGAAAAGTTCACATTTCCATGTTGAGTATGGAAGTAGGGTGTTGGGGAAAGGATATCTTAGCCTTTCTATTACTGCCCTATCATGTGGATTACCCGTTTCAAAGATCCCCCAAACACAAACTAAAAACACTGTTCATTGCTCACCTGTGTGTGTCCTTCGATGTATGGACAAGAAGTGGTGATTTTTAAACACTTTGTCACAGTCTTCACATCTAGCCTCCACATCTGGATACTTTCTCTTCCTCCCTCGCTTCTTCACTTCCTCCTGTTCCTCCTCTACTGTGCCAAGCTTGTACCCCATTAACTTAATAGGCCTCTGAATTCTACGGTTGCTATAACGGCTACGACTCACCACTGCTAATTTGTGTTCATTACCTTCTGCCTGAGAAGCTGCATCAGCATCAAAACAGGTTTCTGGTTCTGACACCTTATAACTTTGTCTCCCTTCACTGATCACCTTACTGCTAGTTCTACTGTGAGATTCCTCTGTAGGTTCTTCCAGTGTGCTTGCATGTTCTTGTGGGTCAGTTGGGGTCCCACTGTCAACTTCAGCCCTTTCTGTTTGCAGCTGTTCACATTTCCGGGGCCTTCCCCTTTTGCGCTTCGGCTTCGAGGGTTGATCATTATCAACATTGGGATCCACAACTACCACTTTAATTCCATTGGAAGCCAATGATACCTTAACATGTAAATTGTTGTCCTGATAGTCTGAGTATGCTTTGATTAAATCATTCACTTTCAGAATCTCAGCAGTGGTCACAATATGCTCAATGGACTTTTCAGTGACATTCAGACGACCAGTGTATATGAATTCCAGCACAGCACTGAAGGTATCTGCAGCCATTCCATTGAGCATGTAGATAGCTTGATCTTGCTGGCTTTCATCAGCAAACATCAGAGAGAAATATTCACTGCTGGCAGCAAGCAGTGCTTTGTGTGCTTTGAAGTGAACATCTTCAGCAATTAAAGTGATGTCACACAAGAAATTTCTTTTTCTTTGTTCTTCAAAGTTAGTTAAAACAGTATCTTTGTGAGTCTTAGATTGAATGATGAGAGACGATGCAGGTGGAACAGCAGGCAATGTCTCATCCATCTCGATGACACTCAGTCAAACATACCTACTAATGAAAGAAAATGCAAATAATAAGTATTTTTATTCAGCAGTACAGATCCCAAATGCCATTTGCATGTTTTGGTGGTAACTATATGGGCACTATAATACTTCCTGCAAGTCAGCTTAGATATTTTAGTATTTATATTACTCTTGTTTCATCACTTTAGTGTAATCACCAACTGTTCATTTCAGCATTTTTCACAGTTTAACATGTTTTCTCCAGATACAATGTCAAGTTTGGAACAGCAAAATCTACAATTTTAGTGCTGGGTACTTTTCACAATCTAAAATTTCAGTTAGACATAGAAATGTCACTAAATATTGTGCTTTCATGAAATTCTAGTGATGATAAGGAATATAAGTCATGTGTTCTTCAGTAATTCAGAGGTTGACCAACAACAGTGCCAAACTCCAGTTATAAATGTTAAGATAATGTAAAAAGCTTCCTATTTAATGTGTTATAAACATATATCGACATCCCCTTGTCGAGATCCCTTAAACACTAGAACCAGATAACTTCTAATTGCATTGTTCCATCCCTTCATGATTTTAAATGTCTAATACAATATTCCTTCATCCTATGTTCTAATGAAAACAGACCAATCTATTATTTCAGAGATAGTAGGAACTGCAGGTGCTGGAGAATCTGAGATAACAAGGTGTAGAGCTGGATGAACACAGCAGGCCAAGCAGCATCAGAGGAGCAGGAAGGCTGA